ACCTAATTTCTTTAAGTTATACTAAAAACAGAAAGTTGAGAAAAGAAATACAAACCCATAATATGAAGCCTTGGAAACCTTCAGAATTGCGTAATCATTTTTAAATAAATTTCCTATCAATTTCAGTTAATTTCCAGGCTGAAACAAAACCCTTGATCAATATTGTCAGAGCTGTCTGACATCAGCAATGCACGTTCTGTGTTATGCGCCATTTCCAATTTTCCTATTTCCAGAATTGGAACCCAGTTTCCAGTTTGTTGAAGATCGATGAAACTCGGATCATAGAACTTTTTGGAGGAAGAAAACATATTTATGGAGCACCTAGCTCATGGAGCTGTTAAATTATGCTAGTCCTTATTGGAAATGTGTACCTCACAATAAACTAAACAGCTACAGGCAGGACGAAACGGGCAAAAGCATCGCAAACAACATACCGTTGTTTATGATTCTATTGGAAAATTATCCAAATAACTGGCCTGAAAGAAAAAGAGCCCCAGCTCCTCCTAGGTGGATGGATGGCTCTCCCCACCAGGCAGTGTAGAGCTGGAGTCTCTCCAGAATCATAGTTTAAAGAAAAATATCCTGCAAAACCCAGTTTGGTTGGTACTTCACAGAGGCTTTGGGTTAGAGCTTTCCAGTAACGGCCTAAATAACTTGACCTACAACACACTGGCTGACGACAACCACCACAAACTTTGGGAGAACTGGCTAGAGGCAGGCTGAGGCTCCTAGGCTGACCACCCAGAAGGGTAAGTGGAGAATAATAGAAGAAATGAATGAAAAAGGAAGTGGGCAAACAGAGGGGAGGGAGGTGTGAATGGAGCAGGACACACAGGACCTTAAGGAAACAGGCTTTGGCATGTAGAGCTATGCCGCTAGATGGATAATGCACCATGGCTCCTGAAGGGTTCTTGCCCAAAACTAAATATGAAGATGATCATATTTCTAGTGTTTACTCCCTTTTCACAGAAACTGAGGAGAAGAAAGAGTGAGTTAAATATCACCACGGGATGCAATCACCAAACTATGGATCACAGAAATCTCTAAAAGGACCACGTGGTCCGTTAAGCTAGCATGCTGCATTTACCTTTTTTTAAAAAAAGTACAGTGACAGCCTGTAGAGTCAAATGCACTGAACATCCGGATATGGTGGTCCCAGAACTCTGAGAGGCAGAAGCAGGAGGGTCTCCATTTCAAGCCCAGCCTGGGCAACTTAACAACTTAGTGGGACCCTGACTAAAATTAAAAGATATAAAAAGGAGCTGCGAATGTTGCTCACTGTGGAGGTCCTGGGCTGGAGCCTAGTACTGCTAAACAGTTATAATGCACTGATGGGGTTTGAGTCCTGATTTAAGCAAATAGGGAGTGGAAAACAGAAGGAAGGTAAAGAAGAAGGGAGAAAAAACAAAAAGGGAGAGTACAAATGGGTACCTTGGTTTTTGTTGTTTTTTTTTTTTTTTAGACAAAGTCTCACTATATAGTTCAGCAGACTGATCTTAAACTCACTGTGTACCCCAGGCTGGCCTTGAACTCACATCAATCCTCTTGCCTCAGCCTCTCCAGTCTGACTTGTGGACTACTTTAAATATAAACATTTATTGTTTTAAGCCATGAAATTTGTTACTGAGCAATATATCACCAATAAAGAAATCCATATAAAAAAGATATGACCAAAGAATGAGAAGTAACTAAAACAGTTACAGATTCTGGATTCAGACAGATTTGGGCTGCGATTCAGGATCCACCACATCTTTGTAAATGTGGGAAGGTGCTTTAGCCTGTCTGTGCTCTATCTTTTCAATTTGTAAAATGGGCAATAATGGTGGAGGTCTGGGGTAACTGTTAGAAATCAGAGGGAATACATACTTAGGTGCTTAGTACATTGCCTTGTACAGAAAAACAGGAAGTTGGCTACCAGCTATGGCTTATATAATCATTATTAGCAGTGACCATTCTAAAGCAGCCTCCTCCTCCACATCCCAGCCCCTAAGAAGAGAGAGCATCCCCAAAGAGGCTGATCGCACATCTCTTGGTAGAAGGCAGATGGAGGGTGGATCCACACAAGAACGAGCTGCGTGTACAGCCAGTGTTTGTTTGGATCTGTTTGGATCTTTATCGGCCTGAGCCCACACAACCCACCGCCTCTCCCAGGGTAGAACAATACGCTTGGGCCACAGCAGGAACTGGGGAAAGTGCACAGGCAAACAGAGCCTGCTCATACCCTGCCTCCTCCATATGCACGCTCGGAAACGGCATGCTAAATGAAGGCATCTACGTGGAACTCATCGTTAAGGGCTTTTCCCATCTTCAGTCCAAAAGTGCAAAGAGAAGTGGGTTCTAAAGCGGCAGGCTTTCTTTCATTTGTCATTATGTTTTACACACAAGAAAATTTTAATGTCTAAAGATGGGAGGTGATGATAAGAACAGAGTTACACATGTTTTTTTGGCAGCCCCGTCGCCGGCACTTAAATTCACTTCTGACAGTTCTCAGAATCTAAAGACCTGTGCGTACTAAACTGTCATCTGCCTATCCGTGAGAGATTTCACTCTGGCAGTATTTCAAAAGTCAAAGCACTTGCTTTTTTCTGCATATTTTCACCACTACAATATTCTCTAAACCATGTACAATCCTGTGCTCCCGAGAGACAAAAACAGAGCACGCTGCGGAGTTCTAAAGGGAAAACCGCCCTTATTTCTGAACGTACAAATGTAAGAACTCAAAGTCGTTTGCTAAATTCTAGGATTATGGCAACAGGGACCATAGCTCCCTCCAACAATTTGGGTTAGGTGATTACAAAAGGCACTTAAATTTGATGATTTCCAAACTACTTAATGATTAAAAATTAATTTAAGGCATGGAAGGCATGGAAGGCGGTCCTACTATGTGACATTTGGTTCTCCCACGGCAGAGCTGCTCACTTCCAAGGTGCCCGACACAGGAATTGGAGAAAGCCGATTACAGGAAGTGAACACACGACCCACCTAGGCGTGGGTGCAGCCAGGGAGAGAGCAAGAGTCTGACTGGGCTGAAGACCTGCAGCTGCCACTGACTGCCAAGTCACCCCATGAAAGACCGGCCTCCTGTGACTCTCGGGGTCTGTCGCATGAAGGACTTGAGGGTGTGGTGGCTAACAGGGACGCCTAGCGGCCCAGCCACATGGGACCTCAAGTCTCTGCTGACCACGTGCCTTTGGACTAGTCACTTGCCTTTCCTTCCAGACTCATTTTCTTCTTCCGTGTGATGGAGATAATCACACAAAGGATTGCTTTCAGAATTAAATTTAAAAATGCATGCAAGTAGATCATGAGTGCAAATCCTTCCTAGTGTGTGTCCTACAATAAGCCCCAAATCAAAGGGCTGCCCCTTCCGCTGTGGTGATGTCAGCACTGTTCCCTCTGCAACCACCGCAGACACAATGGGTTAAGGACTTCACCATGAGCAATGAAACGCCCGCTTGCTGACAACAGCGATTACGGCTTGTTTGAGGTTAACTTGGCTTCCAACGGCCACCACTCTCTCCACAGAGCCTGGGAGAAGCAGAGCTTTGGCAGCCTCGCCAAGTGTGTGTGAAGTAAAGGAGCAAGGAGAGGAATGAATGATGGAGGATTCAACAAACGACCGCCGTGGACCCTGCTGTTACACCTCGAAGAGCTCTGGCCACTGCGAGCGCTGCAAAGGGCACAGAGTAGGGCTCATCCTGATCTGCTGGCTGTCCAAGGATGCTCCAACAGTGCCTGAGAATGCGTAGGGCCTGCACTCAGTGGACAGGACCAATCTCTAAAGACTCCCACCCTGGGGAGCACACAGAGTTCAAGGATTAGGCCCCTGGTTACCCCAGAATGATCCTTAAGGAACAAGCTATGCAACAGTCGAAAGCAGCACAGCAAGACACCAAGGGAGTCGCCTGATCAATGTGGACAGCACCGGGCTCAGCTCCACAGAGCACCTTTTGATTATCTGCTCTAAGGTCCTCCTGAGAAAATAGTAAATCAGGTGTCCCCAACACACAGCCTAACCAAGGACACTGTCACATGGCAGAGCTCCTTGAACCTACGTGGGTAATTATTTCAGCCCTGACACCAGCTGCACTATGAAGAACTGCATCTTCCTGTTTTAAGCATCTCACTGAAAAAAAAATTAAGTTTATTTATTAATGAAACATAAAAATCTGTGTTAAATGAGAAAGCAGTACTGCTTGCCGTGTGTTTGAGGCAAAGTAAAAATAAACACTTGGGAGCTAAGTACTGTAATTACAGTACAGATAGTCATGGTTGCTTTCCTTACCATGGGGTCTTCTTCCCTCCTTCCTCCCTTCTTCCGGCTTCCACTTCCTCTCCTTCTCCTTCTCCTGTTCCTCTCCCCTCTCTCCCCTCTCCCGTTTCCTCTCTCTCTACAGGAAAAGGAAGTTAGCCTGTAAAGGTGTCAAAATATGTAAGCGCCTCACCAAAATTTTCTCCTTCAGGCACTGTGAACAAATGGAAAGAATGGGAAAAAAGGAGTGAGTCTCTCACCCCATGAGTCTACATGTGTGGAAGATCCGTGCACCACATCAAATCACTGCAGACTTGCAAAGTGCTGGATCCTCTCGTACTCTGATTTCCAGGCTCCTACAGTACTAGATAACAGAGGGAATTTGTTCCTAACGCAATTAAAATATGTTTGTCCTCAGAGCTGAGAGGCACTGAAAAAAAGGTCTAAAACCAGGATTCATCTTACACTGGCCTAGCTTTTATTAGCCACTTTTACTAGTTCCTTAATAGTGTCTTCTTCTTTTTCTTTTAATCTGGGAAGCTGTTATTAGATTGATGACACATCTCATAATGAGGGTGACTTAGAGTCAAGAAAATATGGGACACCTTAACAGGGCCAATATAAATGAGCCTCCTGTGTGGACGCCAAGACAACACCACAGCCTTGCATTCTCCCAGTTGTGCTCATCTGATAAAGACATTACAATAGCAAGGAATGATGATCTATAACCCTCCATTGGAACACTCACACATTCTTGGCCTTGAATGCTTCAGCAAAATGCTGCACGCTACGGAGCAGAGCAAGGTCCAGGGTCATTGCTTCTACCTTGGCTTTGTGCTGGAATGAGAGAAAATAAAAAGAAATGATAAATAACAGCAAGTTTAGTTCACGGTATCAAGTTACAGTAAATGTGTTATGGAACATGTTGGAATTCCCCTGTTTAATATTAGACGCCCAGAGAGAATATAAATCATTGGAATGAATGGAAGAACAAGGCTTTTACTGCCAAGTTCAGGAGCACGTGAGGCTGGGATTCTGCTAAATCTGCGGGGTGGGGGTTGTGCTGCGATTCTTGCAGCCCATGGAAGAGGCTCCGAAGGGTCTTCAGGCACACATTATCTCCCCTTATTCTGAACTCCAAAAAGTCACAAGAACAGAGGGCCATGACGGCCAAGCCTGGAACAGCCCAGGATGCGGTGGACAACATTTTAATCTTGAGCTGCCAGCTAGCTTTTGAAATCTTTCCATGAAGCTTGTGTCACAAATTGAAAGCAATGAACTCATTTATAGAAAGTACAAAAGCAGGCAAGGCTCATGTACACCAATGGACTCTGACAGGCCTGGCCGAGGTCCTCAAGAGACCCTGGCTGAGTAATACAAACAACTCTGTGGACAGGTGGGGCACTTACTGATGACGTGATGCTAACGGCCACCGTCTATGCAGCGTCTACCACGGGCTGGGCATCTGCACATAACCTCTCCTTACCCTTCACAATGACTGCAACAAGCAATATTTCTTCCCATTTTGCAGGGTGGCATCTTACAAGAGATTGTAGAGCTAACAAGGGGCCAAGGACTGACCCCAAATCAGTCGATCTCAAAGCCCAAGTTCTTGGCAGGAAGCCAGGTCTGCAGAAGTCGGAATATGACAACATTGTGCTTCACTGAGCATAGTACTTCAGGCACGATCCCGGAAGCACATGTCAAACGGATGGCCTTCAGACTTGCCTTGTGTTTACGGAACACTGCCAACTTTTAAGTCTGGAGGAGCCTTGGGGTATAAGATTAAATACTGTCACTTCTTTGACCTAGTTCCTCCAAAGGCCATAAAGCCAAGGATGTCGAGGCTACCTGTCTGCTCAGGTAAGAAGAGTCTCCATGAAACGAATGGCCAAACAGGGAATCCGAATCAAGACTGGGAAGCTTAAGACCAAGGAGGATGACACGAAACCTCTAACGCTACGAAGCGGAATGTAAATTGCTCTGCTGAAAACATCCTCCACCCTGTGTTACTGCACGAGCTGTGCTGAGATGTTTAGGGCATCTGCAGCCCGTTTATCTTGGCTGCCTTTGTCTTGGGCTCCAACCCAAGCCCCGCGCTTTGAACAATAAACATCAGGCAGTGGCAGCTGGAAAGCAGGCTCGCTTTGGACCATTTAACATTTGTGAGCCTCAGTTTCCTTACTTGTTAAAAAATACGTAGTAATTCTTTACTCATACAGTTGTGGGGTTAAACGCTGAGTGCCTAACACCTTGTCTGGAAGAGAGAAGACATTTAATAAATGTATCTAGGAGGAGACAAGATGTTTTTGCACCAAGTTCTTGCCCTAATGCCAACTGGCAATAAAATGGTGGTCTTGGTACACTGTAGTACAGGGTGGTAGGTAAAAGGATGTCCAAAGGTCCTCCCTGAAGACCACGCTGGACCAGATCACTGTGAGATCTGGAGGATCTTGGTTATGTCTACTAACAGCGTCCATCTTTAGGGAAACATTGTATAAAGTGATAGATGATTTGCCTGAACCCCAACAGCATCTCTGTGATAAAAGTAAGATACACCAATGCAGATACAATTTCTGGTCTTCGGTAATGGGGACACACGCTCACACATGCAGATTTTGGAAGGAAAAAGAGAAGCATCAAACTGATCCATGAAAATGGGGAGATGCCAGCACATGAATGTTGTTACGAGTTCCAGTTTTCTGGGAATCACAGAGCAGGGGAGAGGGGTAGTCTATGCAAGGTGAGCCCAGCACCTCCCTGTAAAGAAGAAAACTGCCACCAAGACACCTGAAGACACTTGGGTGAGGTCACACCCTATGTTGAGAGTTTGGACACCCAGAATGAGGAGCAAAAGCCCACATTCTTTCAGTCCAAGTAGCAATATTTACCTGATGGTTAAAGATCTCACTAAAGTACATAGGCTGTCAGTGGCAATTTACTCCTCACAGAAGTTCTTGTATCTCAAAATACTTACCTCCTTGAGCTGACATTCAGAATGAGAAAATAAAGTGTCTGTCACCCTCATCCTGCCTCCTCGGGCCCTTGTCTCACTTCCCTCAGCAGGATATCCACTGTCACCTACAGAATCTCATGGAAATTTGAATTCATCGCAAGAAAAACATTAGACATTCATGTGCTGCGGCAAGGTAGTAAAGAGCTTGTTTCTCCTCGCCAAGCTCCCTAAGGAAACTACAAGGGATATGTAGATTACATATTATAAAAATGCATATATACTTCCCCCATAGAACAGGAAAGACATTCCCAGATGGGGACCCCAAAGCAACATTCCAACAAGGATGACAGCATGGCCAAGTGACCCACACATTCTTCTTTATGTGCATCTTACAACTGGTAAGCTGTCTTTTGGTTCTCCCCACTTCACTTTGAAATAAAGCACAGAGCTGCCACCACCAATAAAAACAAAATCAGAACATACACATCCAGAGGTAACCAGGGGTCACAAGCCATCAAGCAGTTTAACAGACTAATCCACAAGCTGTGGGTTACTAGGGTCCTGGGGATAGTGATTCAAGTCCACGTACTATTATTCAGGTAATTCTTCTGCTTTGGGTATCAGGTTTCTTATTTCTGCTACGGACCCTGGTAAATGCAGAAAAACTCTGCAATACAGCAAGTCCAGGGGCAGTATAGCACAGTTTTTGCAGTTAGGACATGTGCATGTATTTGTTTGTGTCTGTATGTGTGTTGGGGGTGGGTCTGTCTAATAAAGTTACCAGCTTTACAGAAATGTTTGGCATTGCATAAGTTTTAAGTGGAAATGTCGTGGCTGAAAGATTATAAACAGAACCCATTTATCAGGAGTGAGCTGCTGATGGTTAGAGATTTGGTCTGCCAATGTAAGACCTCCTATGGGCCTGGTAGTGAATCTGTGACTGATCATAATTCACTGTCTTGGATTAGTTCAATGAACTTGTTGTTAACTTTTTCTGAAACTAATGACAGATTTATAAGGAAAGGTCACAATAGTACAGAACATACCATTATACTCATGATCTAGCGTCCCCCAATGGCACCACCTTACCTATGTATTTACATTATCAAAACCTGAAAGTCAACATTGGCAATAATTTACTGCACCACAGTTATTACGAGGGTTTTGCCAGTTTGAAGATGTATTCATTTCCTTTCCTTAATATATCTTTGTACATAATTCAGTGACATTCTGTCATGTGCACTGATGTGTATAACCATCATCAGACTCCAGATACAACTGATCCATTATTACCAAGAAACCCACAACTTTTATGAACTGTTGTTTGAATTAGCACATATCATCTGGAACATGAAAAGCTTGTGTCTCATTTGGCCAGAGTTCACTCTCTGGATTGACAACAGTAACACACACACACACACACACACACACACACACACACACACACTGCTTTGGTAGCTTGGAATAGTCAACAAGATGTAGTCCAAATCCCTCAGCATGATTAGCAAGATCTTCTGTATCACTTAGGATGTGCCCCAGCAAGGAACAACCCCCCACTGATCATCTCTTCAAACAACCCAGGACTATTAACTGCTCAAACTCCATGTTCAACCCAGGTTGGTGGGTCCCACCCACCATGGTTAGCCACAGGCCCCAGAGATGGAGCCTGTACTGTGGCCAGCCTCCACAGCATAGGCAAGGAAATGCACTGCGTCACAAGCAGGATCTCAAAGGCTTCCACGGGGCAGTGACAGGTGTGGCTACTGATCACGTCTCACTGACAGAAAGTCCAGCACTGTGCCTGTCTTCTAGCGTGCACTTCTTTGTGCCCAGAGGAGAGGAACTGAAGATATATATCGAGGAACAGAAATGACTAACACACACACACACAGCCCATGACTTAGCCCCTGTCAGTGTTTCCAGGCTTATTTCGAGCCACTCTCTGCTTCCAACTTACATTAATTTTACACAAATTCAGAAAAGACAGATGAATATGGACACACACCACAAAGAGCATCTGAAATCCCACCACCCTAAAGTCTATATCCTCATCTCCCTTCCTCCCTTCCTCTATACCTATCTATCTTTCTTCCTACCTACCTACCTACCTATCCACCTGTCTTTGTTTAACATAAGGAACTTCAAACTGAGCATATTAAATCTGGAAGGAAAATGCATCTCTCAACCCTTCCTCAAATCCTCACACTTGCCTCTAATCACACCAGTACGCAAACTGAACATCTCAGGCAAAATGGAAATGTTAATGTACTTTAATTTATGTATACAGATGCTAGGACCCAGCACTTTGAAACAACTGCACAGGTGGCATCACACACGTGAAGCATCAGGCAACTTCTCTGTAGCTCAGAAGCCCACCTGCTCCAACACCCCTGGTGTGTACGGGTGCCTGGGGCATGGTGGCGCTGTCAACACCCAACTCTTCATGACTGTCCTTTGTTGGGTTCTAAAACCTTCAAGACACTCCAGGGTTCGTAAAGGCAGCATCAAAGGGGTTGCTTGTTGTTATGCAACAGTGATCCTTGGTATCACTGTATGACTATAAATTAACCAAGTGTGACTCAGATGTGATACTGCCTGAAACCAAAGCGAACATATGGGGAGTGTGCGGTATTTAAGGAGAAAATGGGGAGGAGGTGTCATTTTTAATAGAGACTCCAGAGCCAGGCTGACCTGGAGGCACAGCTCAGTATGACCACAGGGCTGCCAACGGGATGTCAGGGAAGTAGCAGGCCTCAGCTGCCTTATTTGACAATGGGCATACTGGCATTTGCTTTGCGTGGTCAGAATCTTTATTCTGATATAATGAATCTAAGGTCTGGGGCACACATGGACTCTCTGAATATGATTGCAAGGCCACTGT